TAAAGGCAATTCGTGCATGGGTTGCACCAGCTTGTCTTAAAGAGGTGCAAATGTTTTTGGGTGCAGTTGGGTGGTATCGGAAGTTTATCAAGGATTTTAGTACAATTGCTCGACCATTAACATGGCTTTTGGAGAAAGATGTCACATTCACTTGGGGTAAGGAGCAAGATGATGCATTCAATACACTAAGACATGAGTTGGTTAAAGCTCCAGTATTAGCCCATCCTGACCCCACTCGACCCTTTGTTGTTACCACGGATGCAAGTAAAGTGGGTCTGGGTGGTGAACTATCACAAGAAGATGCACAAGGACAATTACATCCGGTTGCATATTTCAGTCGTGCATTGACCAAACGAGAACGTTCATATCCAACTTATGACAGAGAAGTGATGGCTATGCGAGACACGCTTAGGCATTTTCGGTATTATCTGTTAGGAGCACAAGTAGTGATGAGGATCGACCACAAACCTCTTCTAAAGATCCTGGAACAGAAAGATCCATTTGGACGAAGAGCGACATTGATGAGAGATATAGCAGAATTCGAACCACGCATAGAGTTTATTCGAGGGCAGGATAATCACATGGCAGATGCTCTTAGTCGGATCGGATGGAATGTCAAGTGGGAAGAGAGAGATGAGGATACTAGTAAAGTGGCTACTATTGGTGGCTCTCAAGACGAGATTGGTCCATGCAAGGATGTAAGGTTGGGCATAAATGATTTCCAATTGCAGCAAGAACGTGACCCAACCCTTAAGCCACATATTTTCACTCACCGAAACGAACATGGTTTATTCACACGAGATCATAAGAAGCAAGTGTTACTTCCAGCATCGCTTGTTCCCAACATATTATCATTAGCTCATGACGAAACAGGGCACCAAGGAGCAGATAAAATGCTTGCAAGAATTGAACCTTATTATTGGTGGCCAAAGATGAAAGCAGAAGTAGAGAACTATGCAAAAACGTGCCAACGCTGTGCTGCTACTCTTGCCCAGGGACATAGAAAAGCACCCATTCATCAACGACCAAAAGAAGAGAAACCATTTGCGTTGATAGAAGTAGATCTCAAGGGTCCATTACCAAGAACGAAAGAGGGATTTGACAATATTGTTGTGATAACAGATCCATGTACAAAATATGCAGAGATGCATCCAATTCGAGGACAAACCAGCCAAGTTGTTTGTAAGACACTCATGGGTTGGATATCAAGATATGGTTTACCAAACAAAGTGCACTCTGACAATGGACCTTGTTTCATAAGCGAAACTTTTGAACAGTTTTGCATAACCCAAGGCATTGAGCATACTTTCAGTCCACCCTATAGGCCACAAGGAAACGCGGGTGTAGAACGGATTAATCGTACGATGGGGGAAGCACTCACAAAATTGGTAGATAAACATCCCAACCGATGGTCTCAACACCTACCTGACGTACAACTAGCATACAACACAGCAGTTCATACAAGTACAGGAGTTTCGCCGTACGAACTAGTTTTCAAGGAGCACCCGCGATCAAAATTCGAAATTATAACAGAGAAGATATCACCAGCAACGGTTAGAGAGAAAACGGAACGACTGCGCGAGACTGTTAGTGAGGTATTCCAAAAAGCACAAGAGTCCGATGCCAAGTTAGCGGAAAAACGCAGAGAACGGTACAACAGTAAAACTTCGTTTAAATCGTTGGGGGTGGGTGAACAAGTTTGGAAAAGAAATTTACGAGCAAAAACATTTGCAGATCGGTGGACGGGACCCTACGTCGTGGTAAAGCCCACGTCGGTAACCAAAACATCTTATGTAGTGAGAAGGAATAATGGAACTAAAGAAGAAATTGTCCATTACAATTACCTTAAACCTTATCAGATTCGACCTGTCAAGAAACCAAAGTCAAGGAATCCACCAAAGAAGAATGGGGTCGTACACCCAGCACTGGGTACCAGTGAGGACAGTGAATCTGACAGCAGAGAAGAGGAAATGCAACCAGAGAGAAGATATCCAGAAAGAATTCGAAGACCTCCAGAAAAATACACATAATACTTTTAAAGGGGGAGTGGTGTGATATATTGACATTTATATTTACATTGAAATAGATACTAGTAAATAGCAAGCCTGTTTGCAGGCTATTAGGCATGGACCTTCGGGCTTTAATAATTAACTGGAAGAGTAAGGCTATTATTATACATGTGTTCGGGGAATATAATATATAAATTTACATTGTGTTGTGTTGTGTTGTGTTGTGTTGTGTTGTGTTGTATATTATGTGAAAACTGTCGATAAATTTGGTGGTGTGAACTACAATGCCTTTTCCATATGCACCGTATCGTTCCGAAATATAGCGTTTGTTTCTTTAAAGCATAGCTGCGGTGTCAAAGATATTCTTCAGAATTTGGATGTTGCAAATAGCCTGGGTACGAGGTTGTCGACGTATCTGTTATCGTTTCTACCTACACTGCCACCAACCGTACGATTTGTTTCTTGAATACTAGGGCTAAACTACGCCGTTTTCCACTAGGTGGAATTTTGCGCGCTCAGCGGAATTTTTCCTTGTCTTGCGATTTCTCGGTAGAACTAATTAGAAAAGACAAAGAAAAATTCCGCTCCGCGCGGAAAATTCCGCCTAGTGGAAAACGATCTTTACGGTTGAAGTGGAAAACAGGCGAAGTACAGAGCTTAGATGTAGATGTGGTGTTTTATCAATGGAACGACTGAACTTGATTAGCATAATCTGTTACGTGTGAACTTGTAGGAAGTCATCCGGGAAATACTACAGATCATATAGGTATCGTTCTTATTAAATTTTAGATTCGATGCAACATTGAGTTTCTTTAAATGTGACATGACGTAAATTTTTATTGTGCCATTTGTTTTGAAGATTATTACCTCCGCCAGGAAGCTGTGTTTTCAACCGATGCATTTGTATGTGTGTCTGTGAGTGTTTGTTTGTCAGCACGATATATACTAAACGTATTAATACGAAAATTTATGGGACCAATAGAATTTGCTCAAAGACAAATTGATTACATTTTGTGAAAATTGGATGAGAAATTAGCAAACGTTTGTTTTGCTTTGCCGGGCAGAGCAGAGTAAATGCGCACGCAATTATACTAATTTATGCATGATACATAGTTATGTGTCACGCAGCATAAGTTCGCTGCAGGAGCCTGGCGGTGGTATGTGTCTTCGAGTGAACTCTAGTTTGGATAAAAATTTTGTGTCGTATTACCATACTTCACAACTTAGAGCACATACCTGCTGAAGTATTATGATTGAGCATTGTTTCTAATATAATCGCACCACTTATTGTGCCCCCTGTTTTGGCAAGGTAGCTGGTGATGTTTTTCACATAACGATTGCTACCACATAACCCACGCGCTACGTTGCACCCAGCAGTGTTTTCTTCAAAATCAAATGCAACAAATAATATAGTGTTCCTTACTTCACATCTTGCTTTTCCTGCGAGAACGACAAAAATACAAACAACAAAATTTTACAAATTTTATACTAAAATTTTAAAATTACATATTTGAAGGAGCCTGTGTTGGCCATCATCGTCGCATTATCGTCCTATATATAGGTCCCTATTTTTCATGTAGACGAGTATATAAATTAAAATGGCAGCCATATCGGCATATGAATACTGCATTATACACATGTTATTGCTCACCAATATTTTTCGCAGCTTGAAGTAATGCAGTGACACCAGAACCATTATCATCAACTCCCGTAGTATTCATGGTTGTATCATAATGTGCGCCCACTATCACTATCTGATCACCAGCGGTTCCTGTTCTGTTTGAGGAAATCATACCCACTATATTCTCAGCATATAACCTCTATGGTGAGAAGAAATGCAAACATTTTAAATTATGTTCTCAAGTTCATCCGGATCCATTGGTTCATACAAAGACTAAGAATTCTAAGAATCAGCCATACTTACGTCTCCAATCTTTGCCCGCTCCGTCCAGACCTGTAAGCCATATTTCTTGAACGCTTTTCTAATGTAGTCACGTGCTTCTTCTTTCCCTTCAGGCTTGGTCAAGTGATTGCGTGTTCCATTAAATTTCTTCAGTATGGACAGCAAGGACGAGGTAGGATCACTGTGTATGTCATGTAGTATGTCACACAAGACGAGACGTGTATCTTCAGGTAGATTAAATTTAAAAAAGAAACGGTTAATTAAATTCATTCAAATTTTAGCCGCCCGACTGTCCATAATGATTTCTAAGCGAAACACATTAAAGGAAGTCAGCAAACGACAGTAGTTTGGAAAAGTGGTAATAAATGCATTTAGATTGAGTGAACTTCAGAGGCAAATTCTTCCTAAAATACTGAGTTTCGGAAGTTATAATAACGCACGCCGGAATGCTTTCTATCATTCGCTTTGCACTTCGAAATTGGTAATCAGTAATGGTGCCCCTCGTTTTAATTTTAACAAACTTCTCAGTTTCTACTGTATTATACATTACTTACAAAATGAAGTTTTATGTTGACAACATAAAACTTCGTTTTGTAAGTGATGTATAACACAGTACTCCCATAAATTACGCTCAGTACTACAGGAACATTTGTGAACGCACTAATTGTCTCTCACTGTGTTGAACTACCTTGTTTTAAATCAGAACAACTTTCAAACAGGGCTATTGATACCCATATCCCCCTGTTTGAGACCTCGATTTCCAAGGATATTTTCACCGCTCCAAGCAAAGCCGGGATAAAAAACCTGAAAAGCAGAAGTCCTCGACAAGGGGGTGTAGATTTTTAAAGGAAATAGCCCATTGGACCCCGCTATGTCAACTCCTATATATGTCAACCCCGACCTATATGTATATCAACCTCTATATCAATTATTCTCGGTTCAAATAGATTACAAACCAAATTGAGAAAGTTACCAGTTATAAATGTTTAGCCTTTAGGTCTGGAACTTGATTAAAAATTTGAAGTGGAATGCTCATAGGTATAGTCAAAGTTATTGGCGTTAAGAGATTGAAATAATTTGTTCCACGTCATCTGAATTGGTGCTAATTTGCGATACATTGCATGCTCTGTGACAATATATTTGTTAACAGGGTCTAGTAATATGTTGCAGATTTATTTCCATCTTCCTGCCTAAACCTTGTCCTTGCATTGAAAAGACAAAACAAACCGAGGAGTGAAGACAATTTTCAAACTGAAAAAAATGTGTAAAAAGTTGAAAAATCCTCCCTTTCGATAGTAAAGATAGAAAAACAAGTTGATTTGACTTCAGGACCTAAATGCGAAAAAACAAGTATTTCTTTGAGATATAAGCATCGAAACATCAGTGCTAAACATGTTAGTTTCAAAACTCATATATTTTAATAGCTATACCTGGAAAAAATATATATACCTCAAAATTTAAATACTGGAACAAACAATTTATCCTGAAACACAAAAATTTAAAAAATAAAACGGCAATTTAAAGATCTAAAAATTTAAAACGGCAGTTTAAAGATCAATCAATCAAGGGTTTACTATAAAATCGTTGCGTTCGAAAGCGAATTGCGAAGTCATTTACAACATTTGCTCAATATTAAAATGTACCTTGTATATTACATGCATTATGTTACAACAATTGTTTTACGAATCTATAAATTAAAACAGAAAAATATAGTACTTTTATATTATTTACAAAATTTACAAAGTATGGCATCGAAGACACATTGCAGGAAAAAAGCTTCTCTTAAAGCGCTCCGTCTCACAAGGAAACAGTGTTAGTCTCAGGGGCGGATCCAGCCAAAAATCTGACCGTAGCATTTTCAAAGACCTCGCATAGCTAGGGGGGTTCTTTTTTGAAATTTGAAGCCCGTAAATGCCATTTCCTGCGTTCTGAGCACTGCATGCATGTGACCACTAAGTTTGTCCTCATTGTACTCATTTTCAAGCAAAAATAAGAAAGATCTCAAAAAGTAAGGTATCGATCCCGCGTATATCTTAACATATATACGATAGATAGATAGATATTTAATAAATTTCTCCCTAAAAGGGTTTTTCAGAAATTATTTACAGTTACATGCATGCAGTAATAATTAAGGTTACAAATATAAGTTTAAACAATTATCAAAGACTATGTACAAAGTTTAGTTGGTTATACTAAATGTTATCTTTTGCAAGCAAATGTTTTTTAAGTGCTACTTTAAAAATTTTAAGTGAAGAGCAGTCTTTCAAGTTCTTGTCTAAATTGTTCCAAATATGGACGGCTCTATATGTAAATGATCGTTGGCCAGCTGCAGTCTTAAACAGAGGTATTTGAAGAGAGTCGTGTGTACGAGTCCTACGGTCGTGGATTGATGACCTTTTTATCAATTTGTTACAAAGGTAGTCGGATGCTAGGTTATTCACACTTTTATAGGTCAAACTGGCGTCTCTAAAATATAGTAGTTTGTCTACTGGGAGCCAATTCAATTCACGTAGAAGTGGAGTTACGTGGTCATACTTCCTGGATTTCGTGACGATTTTGCAAGCAAAGTTCTGGATCGACTGAACTTTCTTCACGTTGGAGGCAGACGTATTCGACCGCACCGAAGAACAATAAACCATTTTGCTGATGACCAAGGATGAAATGACTTCCGATAAAGTTTTTGTGTCGAAACTATTTTTTGCACGATTTATCTGGCATAATTTGTTCATACACGACGAGACAAGAAGCGAGACATGTTTGTCGTAATTTAGGTGTCTATCTAATGTGACACCTAAATCTTTAGCAGAGTCCACTGGTTTAAGAGACTTGCCCAATAATGAAACTGATGTGTCTGTAGGTAGTTTGCTCATCATCTGCCTTGTGCCGATCATCATGTACCTTGTTTTCCCCGGGTTAATTAAAAGGTGGTTTTCACAGCACCAACTTGCAACTCTGTGTAGGTCTTGCTCGAGATTTGCAATTGCTGCATCAATCTGACGTAATGGGAAGGAGAGGAGAACTTTCGAGTCATCAACGTACGATTCAAGGCTGGAGTCACGAGATACGGAGGGAAGATCGTTCAAGTAAATACAAAATAATAATGGTGAAAGCGTCGCACCTTGGGGTACTCCGTGAGTGATTGGTAGTGGATCAGATAGGGCGGAGTTGATGCGGGTGGACTGAAAGCGATCTGACAAGTAGCTTTTAAACCACTGTACTGTTGCTGGGGAAGCGCCGACATTCGCTAGTTTGTATAACAATCTGTGATGGTTAATACTGTCGAAGGCTTTCGAGAGATCTAATAATACTAGAGCGGTAAGTTCCTTTTTGTCCATAGCCTTTAGCATCGTGTCGGTACTAAAAATATTCAGGGTCTCTGTGGAATGGAGTTTTTTATTTCCGCTTTGATCAGGAGAGAGCAGGTTTTTGCTTATAAGGTAGCTACTGAATTGTTCGAGAACAATTTTTTCACAAACCTTAGAAGCTATGGCAAGAAGGGATACTGGGCGGTTGTTTGACGCTACTTCGTGGTCTCCGTCTTTCACTATGGGAATCACTTCCGCTTCCTTCCATGCAGTAGGGAATGTATGAGAGGTTATAGAGCAGTTAATTATATGTGTTAGGGGTCCTAGTATAACAGGGAGACAGTCTTTGAGGATTCGAGAGTTTATCTTGTCTGGTCCAGGGGATTTGTTCAATGGCAGGGATGCAATGACACGGCGTACTTCTTCGCTGGTTACTGTTCGGAAAGAAACGACATCTTGGGAAGGCATATAAACGGTCTCTAAAGGTGTTTTCCTTTACGCGTATCATACGTATATCATTATCAATCGAACACCGGAATACGCATATCATCTACGAACGGCTGTCTAGTTCCGTAACTTAAATTGCAATTGGGTTCATTGGCCCGAGACGGTTGTATTAAATGATTAAGGCGTGAATCAGGCTGTCCCATTTTGTCAAACGTTTTTGTACACAAAGCATCACATCTTGCGCGTAATGTCGAAGGTCTAGAACTCGTAGCAAATGAAACGATGAATCTCCACTACGCTTGAGAACTCGTAAGATGTGTAATCTCTTTTATGCTTTGGTTACTATCTCACTGATGTGCAAATCCCACTAGCTTCAGATTATTCTGGATCGTTAAACCTAATACTTTGTGGGATTCTATTCTTTCCAGACTAATATTTTCAACAACTAAGGTGGGTAGAGGCTGCTCAATATCTCGCCGAAAGGAGACGATCATCTCCTTACACTTTTTGGGGTTCAATTTCATATTGTTGGTACTTGTCCAATCACCAATTGCGTCCAATTCGTTTTGTAGTATAGATACCTCTCTTGTTGGGACAATCTCAGATATCGTCACGTCGTCTACATACTTTCAATTACTGGAACGTGGGGATACTATTTTCAAATCATTAATCATTATGACAAAAAGGACTGGACCCAATTTGGTACCCTGTGGGACTCCAGCACTAGTTGGAAGCCATCGAGACTCGCACTGTCCCAGCTTAACACACTGGCGGCGATTTGAAAGGAAGCTACAAATCCAAGGGATTATTGAACGGCGCACTCCCAAATCGATGTTTGTTTTTTACAATATTGTGGTCTATTCTATCGAAAGCTTTGCTAAAATCCAGAAAGCAAGCTCTAAGATCATTATCTTACTTGGGTTGTCCATTTTAGAGAGCCAGTTGTGGATAAGATCTGGAAGATAAAGGATGGTAGATATTCCCGTATCGTCTCAACCTGAGTTTGTTTCGCTTTCGGAATGGGTATGATGCTGGAATCTTTCCATAAAACAGGTGTTCCGCAGAACTCGAAAATAATCCCCAAACGATTAATGAAAGGAATTTAGTTTAATATGAACAAAAAATATATAAAATTACATGTACAATACACAAAAATCTCGAAAACTGTTCGCTATCAAAAACCCAACAACACATGTTCTACCGGTATATTCCGATTCTGTCCGAACAGTTCCGAACTGTCCCGCGAGATGATGTCTCGCGCCATGTCTCCTGAACATCCCCCTCCCCACACTGAGGAAGTGTGTCTAAAATTAGCAACTATAACAATGTCAACAAATAATCAACTATGTGCCTCATGCATGGCTATTTCTCTTATCATCTAATGTTCCAAAGGAACCAACTTGTGGATTGGTCTTACGAGAGTTCTTTCTCCACACTGTACTTTCGCAACACGAGTGTGTCCATCTCGACCTGGATACGTTTCTATTATTCTCCCCAATGGCCACTTTTCTCTAGGTA